AAGCCCTAAACCCTTAAAAAACCCTAGGGTCCAGTTCAATGCCTGAGCTCACCACGAGCCGCGGCGCTTGTCCGTGGGCGAGGACCGGGGATCCTAGAGCGGTCATACCCCAAACCCGAAAGGGTTTAGGGTTTAGGGGGACCCTACACCCTAAACCCTAAGGTAAGAAACATGTATGTATTCTACATACTTCAGGGCTACCCTAAACCCGAAAGGGTTTTGTTTTGTTTGTTTTTGGGTTTAGGGTTTGGGGGTTTTAAGGTTTAGGGTTTAAGGTTTTGGGGTTTGGGGGTTTTAAGGTTTAGGGGACCCTACACTTGAATTGTATTTGGACCCTAAGTTTTGTTTTGTTTGTTTTTGGGTTTTGGGTTTGGGGTTGAGGCTTAAGGGGTTTGAGGGCTTGGGGCTTAGGATTTCAGGGTTTGGGAGTTTAGGGTTTGGGGTTTAGGGGGACCCTACACCCTAAACCCTAAGGTAAGAAACATTTTTCTTGGTTTGGGCTACTATTCTACATACTTCAGGCCTAAACCCGAAAGGGTTGTTTAGGGTTTTGGGTTTAGGGTTTGGGGGTTTTGAGGTTTTAGGGGTTTAGGGGTTTGGGGGTTTAGGGGTTTGGGGTTTTAGGGGTTTAGAGTTTGGGGGTTTAGGGCATCACCCTGAGGGTCCAAGGACCCACATAATGGGGTTTCAGGGCCCAAATACTATACCTTGAATTGTATTTGGACCCTAAGTTTTGTTTGTTTTTTGGTTTTGGGTTTGGGGTTGAGGCTTAAGGGGTTTGAGGGGTTGGGGCTTAGGGTTTCAGGGTTTGCGGGGTTTAGGGTTTGGGAGTTTAGGGTTTAGGGTAATGGGCCTGGGGGCTTAAGCTTGAGGGTTTGGGGTCTAGGGCGTAGCGGTCTATATAGGGTTTGGGGTTTTGGGCGTGGGGTTTGGGGCTTAGGGTCTTGGAGTTCGGTAATATACCCTACCCTCCAATGAGCCCACTATAACTCCAAGTAAGAATTTGAGGTACAGGGTGTAGGGTTACCACCCTAAAACCTCAACCGTAAACCCTACATCCTCAACCCTAGACCCTCCTACGGTGGTCCCGGAAGTCAAAAAAATGCTAACTATTTTGGGCTACTTGGATACCTCCATTGATAATCAGTCGCAGAGCAGGCGAGGCCTCCGATTAACATGCTTTGAAACCCATAATAGGGTTTAGGGTTTGGGGTCTCTCCTCCAAACTAACATGGAACCTAAGCCCTGAACCCTAAACCCTCAACCTTAAATCCTAAACCCAAAAAGGAGGCCTTTTCAGGTTCCATGTTGGGTTTGTGAGAGGGCATAATCCTCCTTAAGTAGATTGGGTTTTTATAGGGAACATATAAGGGTTATAATGGAAAAGAGAATCGAAACTACTATCTAAGGTTTAGGGTTTAGGGTATAGTCCCCCTTAAGTAGATAGAATCTGGCATTGGGTAGATTATAATAAGATCGTCATATACCCGATATTCTATCCTAAACCCTAAACCCTAAAACCTAAATCCTAAACCCTAAACCCCATATACCCGACATTCTATCTACCTAAGGGGGACTATAGGTGCAATGAACATGCGCAGAGCTCAGAAAGGAGCAAGGCCAGAACAAATGCAGTCTGAAACCTCCTCAATCTACGGTGGGTTGAGGGTTAGGGGCTGAGGGTTTAGAGTTTAGGGTATAGGGGCTGGATCGATGCCCCTCTGAACCCACCAAAGTTCATGAATGCTTGGCCAACCCCCTGGTGTCTCTAGATCTCTGAGCCTCTCTTTGACCTGTAAGCTCAAACACCTGGATCCATTGATCCCTCCCCTACATAATAACCCAAATAGAACCAATCCTATGTAACCGAAATATCACCGTAGAAAACTTATTAAACCCGAAACCTAAATCCTAAACCCCTACACCCTAAACTCTAAAGCCTAAACCATTAATTCAAAACCTAAATCCAAAACCCTACCTATACAACCCTATAGAACCCTATATAACTACAGTACCCTATGACAAATCTTGATGAACAACCTGGAGCCTCGAGTCTGGAGCCCTACCACCATGGGCTATTAGACCCTAAAATTCCCTATTAGGACCCTAGTAGGGGTAGATTAAGGTACCCTTAAGGTCTATTAGCCCATAGTGGTATATTAGCCTTGCTTGGGGTTTAGGGTTTGAGCTTGAGGGTTTAGGGTTTGGGCTTGAGGTTTTAGGGTTTAGATTTTAGAGTTTAGGGCTTCGGATTTAGGATGTGATTTAGGGTTTCGGATGTTGGGGCTTAAGGTTTAGGATTTAGGGTTTAGCCCCTGCCTTCCGTGCCCGGTAGGGGTGCTTTCGGTTGTCGCGCTCAGCCAGCTTCTGAAAGAGCGTTCGGGACAGCTCCTTGCCAAGCGTGTATGAAGGGCCGAATAGCGTGTACTTAAGCTCACCTGAACATGAAACGTAGATAGAATGATGGACTAAAATGCGAAGAACGATCCAACCAGGCCATTGCTCTATACCCCTAAACCCCTAAACCACATGTTTGGGGTCCAGGCACCAATCCTGCCCTCCTTTCAATTTGCATAGAATTGGCTAGGGGTATGTTCGAATTTCAGGGAAGAAGGGTCAGTCTAGGTAGGCATATTCACGTCACGAAGCTCATCCCTTTACCAGAGCATTCACGACCAGACCATAACATGTTCGAACGCATCTGATTACCACAGCCTCGGTGCCCAAACCATACTTACGTTCCTGTTCGAGCACATCCCATTACCGAGCACCCATGACCAAACCGTAGTAACGTTCATGTCCGTGCGCGTCTGAGTCCTAGAGCAGTTTACAGTCTTAGAGCGTCGGTTTTCCCTGTGGCGAAACGCTGACTCAGAGCAATTTCTTCGTACAGCTTCGCAGGCGACTGGCATGCGGCGGGTTGAGCAAAGGGATTTCGGTCTTGTAAGGTTTAGGGTTTAGGATTTAGGGCCTAGGTAGATGACAGTCCTGGAAGAGCAAGGCGATTTGACCTCTTGGAATGCCCTTGCGGCCATTGGTGTCCAACACGCCCATGCTGTAGCAAACACGGTAGAAGTCCTCGGGAGTTGGGCGGGGGCTATATAGGGGGTTTAGTGTTTAGGTTATATAGCGGGGATATGGGGATACTGGCAGAGAAAATGGAAGCTACTATTTAGGGTTTAGGGTTTATAGGGTTTAGGGCTTAGGAAGGTTTTCTGATTTAGGATTTTGTGCTTAGGGCTCTGGAGTTGAGGGTTTACGGTCATTATAACTGTTTTCGTATACCCCGCACATATACGCAGAACAGAAAAACGGCGTCTTTTCTATACCTTAGGAGGACCCCCCACCCTGTAATAGTGGTAAAATAAGTATATATAAGAGGACCCTCATATAATCCCTATTATCCCTTATAGTCAACTATTACTGGGTGGGCGGTCCACCTAAACCCTAAACCC